GTGCAAAAGTGGACCCAGACGATTGTGAAGGAGTCGCAACATAAACTTGCACAGGAGAGGGACAAGTGCAATTGGTTCCTAATTTTGAAGTAGTTATGCGTCCCTTGATTTGAAAATCACAATGATGCTGGTGCGCCTCCACTGTTCTGGCGGTAGCTGTTCTGGCTGAATGATGTCGGTGGACAAACATTGTAGGCGCTGTTCTATGCACGGCCCGCCTCCTTTCGACATTTATGCAGCGATTCCCGCTGCGTCTTTGCATTTCCCGTTTTTGAGCTCTTTGATTGCTTGGTGTACCCTTTCCTGAGTAAGGTGGTACGTGGTTCGGTCTCACTTCAGCCTCCTGGTCTTCGCGGCAAAGGACAGAGGGGCGGTAGCCGCGCGTCGAACGCCCGTTGTTGGAGTCGGGTTGTGGGCAAGGTTGCTCGTAGAAGGATGCAAAAATATCAGCAACGCTTTGTCGGTCGGTCTCGTCGTTGCCGTCACGCCCCGTCATTGATGGCATTACGTCCTTGTGCTTCGTTGTTTTGATTCTCGCTATCTTCCTAAGGCCTGCGAAACTGACGATGATGCCCCTGATTATGTCTCGCCGTCGAGCTCGTTTTGCAAACCGCAATTCCTTGAAGACTTTCTTGCTGATAGCTTTGCGGGTCACAGTGTCATCGCGTGGTGTTTTGCTCCGTTGTGCGATGAGGTCGCGTAGCTGTTTGGTTTGCTCTTGGTTGGTCGCTCGGTGGGAGTCGTTGGAGTGGGCGGCTTGGGTCTCGTAAGCATATGTCGCAGTCTTCAGTGCCCGTTCCGTGTCTGTGCACCTTTCGCTGATTGTCGACGCGTGTGAGTGCGTGAGCAATGCCTCTTCGAGACGTTGCTGGAAAGCTGGGTCGTTTGCCGGTGGTCGCCCGGCTGTTGTTGGTCGTGCTTTCTTACGTCTTCGTCGTCGCCCTCTCGCAATGGTAGACAAATCGAAGCGTGCATGAACAGCTTGGCGGTCGGATCCTAGGTCCGGGCACGCGGACGCATGAGCGTCTAAGATAATGTTGCGGCAGGCCTGGTCGATCAGGACGCAGTCGATCTGCGGGCGTACATTGTCCGAACCGTCGCCACTAAATGAAAACACGCGATGTGGTTGCTTGTGCAACTGTGTGCTCGCGATCACCAGTTTCTCCTTGATTGCCCAAGCTCGCAACCAAATCCCCTCCGGCGTTGCATTTGCCCATCCCGAACTTCCCAATCATACTGCGAGATCTGCCACGATCACAGTCGTGACATACATCGTCGCCATTGTTCTCCTGAGTCCCAACCTGCGCATTGAAGCCGCCAGTCGGCATTGTCAGTCCCCCCTGTTGCGCTGCGTCTTTGCGCAATGCACTGAGTACGTCGCACATGTGCTGCGCGCGATTGTCGCTGCATCCTCCATGTGGGAAGTACGACGTTATAATTCGCAAGGGCTTTTCGGGCAAGTCTAAATCGACGTAAGCAATCCCCTCGTTGATGGGCGTAAAACGCGTGGTGTAGGGAGCGCGGCGGTTATGAATCAAAAGTGCAACTCCTCGTGAACTCGTTTGGTGTCCGGCAACTGCGAACACATGATTGCCATCATTTGTAATCCACATTTCTTCCTCCACTGTCCTCCACGTCTCGTCGATGGCAACTGCGCCCCAAAGTATGTTCGCAAGTTCGTGCAAGAGCGCATCGATGCTGTCGTCTGTCGCCAGGCTCCTGGCGTTTGCATGCACGGTTGTGAACGTATGTTCACGGTGCGTCGCGAGGTTTGGTGGGGCGGCACCGGTCTGCTCGCTCATGGTTGATGCGTCGTTGTTCTCCTTGGTTGTTAAACTGGGGCCAATGCGTTGAGATGCCTACTGGAACGTCGCCACTCACGTGCCTGAGTGCTCCGCGGCCCCCCCCAAAGCTCTGATGTGGACGTTGAGCTGGTGGTGGACGTGGAGGTGGAAGGTCGCATGCTGCTGGAGGGTGGAGGTCGGAGCGCTGCGCTGCTGGACGCTGGAGGTCAACGGGTGGAGGTGGAAGTGGAAGTGGAAAGTCGGATGCTGCAGGCTGGACGTCGGAGTATTGAACTGCTGGACGCTGGAGGTCGACGCGTGGAGGTCGAGGCGAGAGGTCACATGCTGCTGGAGGGCGGAGGTCGGAGCGCTGCGCTGCTGGACGCGGGAGGTCAACGGGTGAAGGTGGAGGTGGAAAGTCGGACGCTGGAGGGTTGAGGTCGGAGTGCTGAGCTGCTGGACGCTGTAAGTCGTTGCGTGGAGGTGGGGATGGAGGTGGGAAGTCACATGCTGCTGGACGCTGGAGGTCGGACGACTGCTGCTGCTGGACACCGGAGGTCGACAGGTGGAGGTGGAGGTGGAAAGTCGGATGCTGAAGGGCGGAGGTCGGAGTGCTGAGCTGCTGGACGCTGGAGGTCGATGGGAGGGGGTGGATGTGGAAAGTCACATGCTGCTGGAGGGCGGAGGTCGGAGTGCCGCGCCGCTGGGCGCCGGAGGTCGACGGGCGGAGGTGGATGTGGAAAGTCACATGCTCCGGGAGGGTGGAGGTCGGAGCGCTGCGCGCTGCTGGACGCTGGAAGTCGATCAGTGGAGGCGGAGGTGGAAAGTCGGATGCTGGAGGGCGGAGGTCGGCCTGCTGAGCTGCTGGACGCTGGAGGTCGATGGGTGGGGATGGAGGTGGAAAGCCACATGCGGCTGGAGGGTGGAAGTCGGAATGCTGCGCTGCTGGACGCCGGAAGTCGATGTGTGGAAGTGGAGGTGGAAAGTCACATGCCGCCTGTGGGCGGAGGTCGGAGTGCTGCGCTACTGGGCGCGGGAAGTCGATAGGTGGAGGTGGAGGTGGAGGTGGATATGGAAAGTCGATTGCTCGAAATTCGAGGTCGGAGTGCTGAGCCGGAGGTAGAGGTGAGATGCCGAAGTCCGTGGGTAGAGGCAGAGGTCGGGCAGCAGCGTTTCGCCGGAATGGTCGCACCCGTCCGGACTCCTGCGCAGTGGGAGGGACGGATGCCGGACAGCTCCGGGCAGCGTCGTTCCCAATACGGCTTTGGCGGTTGTCGGAGATGCGGCAATACTCCAGGCGCTCAGCTACATAATCCTGATCATGGGAGGGCCCGTCGTAGAGAAAAGAACGTTGAAGATAAGGCTCCGGAGGATCAGAAACCTCTGGAACCAAAACAGTGGGTATCCCGAAGTCTGTCCTGGAAGAAGTGGTCGCCGGGATCCTGTCGGAAGCGGTGACTTTGCCCACGCCCACAGTAACACCTGCAGAGAAAGACGAATAGAAACGAGGAAAAAGTTCAGGAGGATCGGGACGATGTGGAAGCAGACGAATGGCTGCGTCGGCATCTTTGCCCGTGATCTCCACGTCCAGAAAAACAGAATAGATCTTATATGTCGTGGCTCGGGCGTTGGCGGTGGCTACCAGGGCCCGCCATGCGTCCTACTTGGACCCTTTGGACCCCCCCTTTGCGGACCCTCTTAGATTCTTCGCGGCACGGGTGACGATCGCATCACATTTCGTGGTACGTTCGGTCAATTGTGCGTGGTTGCGCAAGGCTCCACAATACGCCCATTCACCAGCGGCCCACTCCCGGATAACCGTGTCTCCATCGATATTCACGGTAAGAGCCAACCCTCTACCAACTGTTACCGTGTATGGCTGGTCTGTGTCGTCGACGCGTATGGGGTGAGTGATGCCCGTTGTGTCCTTTAAAACGTATTTGACGCCAGAACAATAATTGCGCGCAGCACGGATCAGTGGTGGACGATCGCACGTAGCCCAAAATATGTCGTCCACTCTTGTTGAAATTGGCGTTCCGAATCTGGCCAGCCGCAAGGCTTCTGTCGCCAATGCTGAGAAACTGTATGAATAGCATATCGTTGCATTTTCCCTTGGCGTACATGTTGGTTGGTGCAGGCGCCCCTATAGTTAGGTTGTAGTTCTTGTTTGATCCAAGCGCTTGCAGTTTCCAAGGTGTCGGCATCGTCGAGGTTTCCGATGACAGCAGTGATGTCCCTCTTGTCTGTGATGCTGTTGGTGCTGTGGGTGACGTGTGCTGCCAGACGTGCTGGAATAGCTCGTTGCTGCTTCATTGCTTCGATGTCCATCTCCAGCTGCAGTAGTTTGGCTTTGGTAGTCGAGCCCAGTCGCTGCGGATGTTGCTGATGACGGCCGGGACGAAGTTTCAATGCCGATACACGTTTGGTAATTTCGTCGACTGATGCTTGAAGAAGTTTCACTGCGGTGTCAAGCGCCTCACGCGAGATCCCAGATGTCTTGATGGCTGTGATGTCGTTGCGGATCCTTTCCAACTGTTCGTTCAGGATGACTTTGAGCGCCTCTGCAGTCAGAGCCGCTCCAGGAGCCACGTTGGTGCCCGCGGTGTTGTTCTTGTCGGCGTTATTCAACTGCTGTCTGAACAGGTTCTGACGCGAGTTTGTGCCTTCTTGGTCGACCTAGAGCGACGAGTTGCCAGTGCGGGCCACTTTGTCCTGCCCAACATTCAGTGCCGAGCGTCGCGGCTCAGGAGAAGAAATAATATACTTTTCCGGCATGGCAACAGCAGCCTACAAGGGTGGCGTAAGAAAGAAAGGAAGTGTGTGATGGAAAAGGAGTAATAGGCTGAACGGATGCCTTGAGCGGATGCCTTGAGCGGATGCCTTGAGCGGATGCCTTGAGAGCCTTGAGCCACAATGCTCTTGAGTCAAGGAAGGAGGAGGAGGAGGAGGAGAAGGATGAGGAGGAAGAGGAGGATGAGAAGGAGGAGAAGGAGAGCGGAGACTTTACTTGAGAACAAAAAAGCGGCACAAACGGAAGCTTTTGGAGCTCCGCGCGGACTTTTTGGATCTGCGCCAGGGCCCTCTGGCGGCGCCTCCAGCGCCGCCCCTGGCGCGCGCCAGGGAGGTGGGTCAAACGCAGATCCAAGAAACCCGCGCGGAGCTCCAAAAGTTTATGCGTATGCTGCTTTTTCTTCTTCGATTTGCACACCCACTGACCTGGCCATATGACCGCATGCTCCTCCCCGTCAGCTGCACCTTGCGGAGCCCCGACGCGTCCTTGACCTCCTCCATGCACTTGCCCCGGGTGCCCAGCAGGAGCCCCACCATGTCCGTGCCGTACACGCACTGCCGCCCGTTGATGCACCTCCCGGCGAGTGGGCCAGGGCCCCGGAAGACGACAGGGACAAGGACGTGGAGGAGTTTCCTCTGGGCGAAGGGGCGGATCGTGACGACACGGACCCTTCCTCCCTCCTCCTGCCCGCCGTCTTCCTCCTCAGCCTCCTCCCACTCCTCCTCATCCTCCCTCGTCACTCCTTCCTGCCGACGGCCGACGACCAATCGACAGGCGGCGCAGCCGCCGCAGCCGGGCGATGCTCGGGCTGGTCGCCCTGAGGGAAGGATCTCAGGAAGCCCCAAAGAAGAGCCCCGGGCGCACAAAAACCTGGACACTCGATCCTCAACCCTCGACCGACGAGGACGACCATGACGACGGCGGCGGCGGCGACGATGACAACGGCGACGACGACGACGACGACAACGAAGACGACTATCACGACGACGATGACGACGACGACGACGACGACGACGACGACGACGACAAGCACGACGACCACGACGACCACGACGACCACGACGACAGCGACCACGACGCTGACCACGACAACGTCGACCACGATCACGACCACGTCCACGACCACGGCGACAACAACGACGGACGTCGTCCGGAGATCTCTGGAGGCTTCTGGACGCCTATAGCAGATCAGAAGGGACGACGAGCACGACAGCGACCACGAAGACAACTATGACGATGACTTGCGAAAACCTCTGGGAGCCTACGAAAATCATCAGACCTCCGAGAACTTCTCACAACCTCCGAAACCTCCGAGGACCCCCGAAAACCCTCGACTACAATCGACGGCCTCCGAAAAGAGCCGTCGTTGACGACGATGGCGCAGACGGGGGGGAACGCCCACGTGGCGTCCCTCCGACTTGGAAAGGAGGGACGACAAGGGACGAGGAGGGAGGAGGAGGACCAGAGCACACCCATTGTGACCCAACGGAGGTGCAATCCACCCTGCCGCCCAACGTCCTCACCTCATCAGTCCTTACAAGCAACATTTCTCTGTACGCGGAGCGTCCCCTTTCTAGACGATCGCCCCTTGGGCACACATTTCAAGGAGGAGGAAAGGGTTTCCTCCCCCTCCCCCTTCTCCATCCCTTTTCCTCGTGAAAATACTCCCTGTCGACAACCAGAGTTGTCCTCCATGGTCCATGGGGAAGGGCGGGCGTTTCGCTTGAGACTTCCTTCAGGCTTGCAATCCTGAAGCAGAGCTGAAACCAAAAACATATTGGACGGATGGAGAACCAGTGGTTTTCAAATTGGGGTTCACGCATTGGCGCCGCGGACATTCGTTCTAAGGGATTGCAGCAGCTACGGAGATGGAGGGCCATTGGTTTCAAAATGCGTAACCGCTTTAGCGCCGCGCACATTCGCCTCCAAAGCTTGCAACCATAATCCAAATTTGGAGGCCCGACTGTTTTCGAAATGCGGTTTTCCCCTTTCACGCGTGCACATTCGTCCCCAGAGCCTGCAACCGCTACAAGGATGCAGACCTTTTCGTTTCCAAAACGGGACTGCTGCAGCAGGGCTGCGCGCAATCGCCTCGAAAATTTGCAACACATATCAGGATTGAAGACGGTTCATTTTCGAAGAACGCTCTCGGAGTTCCGTGACGCCAAAAACGAAAGTTCGAAAGTATGCGACAACAGCACGGGGAGAGGGCGGCTGCCTTCCAACATGGGGCTCTCGCGTGAGGCTTCTCGACCCTCGATCCTCGACCAAAGTGTCCTCGACCCTCGATCCTCGACCAACGGTCCTCTTCCTCTGCCCAAAAATGTCTGATTACGCAGATCTTACAAGGATTGGAAGCGGTTCCTTTTTGAAAACGGGGCTATTGCTGAGCACTTTGTGGCCCGATATGTCCGCCCTCCTTGCACACCGCTATAAGGATACAATGCCGACGCTTTTCGAAACATGGCCGTCGCCCGAACGGCAGGCCCTTCGGGGAGAGGGCCTCCGCCTGGCTTCTTTGTCGGAGGTGCCCTCCTCTGTGGAGGCGGCGCTCCCGAAGGAGGCGGAGGACCACGTCCTTCAGCTACTGGGACGACACCGTCAGCCACACGACCGCCCTTCGGGCGAGACTCTGGCTGGGCCTACCGCGCGAAGGATGCACGCAAAGACCGGGTGTTCGGCGGAGCCCTTTGTATATCAGGGAGGCCGGGCTCGACGTCGGCGGGGGGGCCGACCGCGGTGCGCCACTCGGGGTCGATCGGGATATATATATATATATATATATATATATATATATATATATATACATACATACATACATATTTAATACATACATACATACATACATACATACATACATACATACATACATACATACAGACAGACAGACAGACAGACAGACAGACAGACAGACAGACAGACAGACAGACAGACAGACAGACAGACAGACAGACGTACATACATACATACATACATACATACATACATACATGCATGCATGCATGCATACATACATACATACACACATACATGTATTAAGGCAACTGTCCTTCATGCATTGCGGGTTGGATCCACGGGCCCTCGCCCTGCCTGCCCCCGATATATACGGCAAATGGTCACCGCCCCAACAAGGGCGACGCATGTCGTCTCAAGGCGACGGACGTTGGCGCAGGTGCTTGTGCCTCGCCTCGCACACGTTACCGTGGTCCGCCAACATCCTGTGAAAGTCAGAATAAAGCATCTTCTTCAACAACAGGTAGCCCCTTGGATGCTCCGCGGGGTCGATCTGATCTGGGCCCAGCAGTTCTGGCCCCGACATAAGTAGTTCAGGCGGGCGGTGTCGAGGAGTCTCCGGTATCTCGAACGCGGCGGGGAGCGGCGGGCACCCAGCCCTGGCGCGCGCGGCGCCAGCCGAACACATAGGCCCATCCGGCGAGACTAGCACAGCACTCTCGTGCACCCCCTGTGCCCGCCAGTGGAAATTTTCGGGGAATGTCAACCTGGCTGAATGTCTCCCAGAGGAGGTCCATCTGTCTGCCCGTCTAACGCTCCAACAGGAGGGCTTTCTGGCACGCCGTGAGGCATGGGCCCAGCACGCGAAAGGTGGCGCGCGCCTGCGAGTCGGTCCAAGGACAGAGCACACTGGCTGAGAGGTCACCGACCCCCGCAGCCCTGGATGTCGCGCGCCACGCGCTCGGCCCCTCGACCACGGCGCGCGCGCAGCCCAGACTCCCAACATCTTTGAGCCCAGGGATCCACAGGACCCATCCGTTTGCGACGAGATTCCAGAACGCCCGCCAGAGGGGTAGGACAGCGTAGCCCGGCCCGATGATAAACTCGAGGAGGCGGCCCCTCCGGTCAGCGACCGAAGCGGCCCGGAAGCCGGCCCCCCTCAACTGACGCACGCGGCGCGTGCGATACGCGCGCCGCACCTCGCCCGGCGCGCATCCGCGCCCGACACCCAGGACCTGGCACATGCAGGGAACACGGTGCCACGGCGTGGGGAAAGCCGCCCAATCTCCGCCTCGCTGTTCTATGAAGCCCACATCGTGTCCATCGCTGGCGACGATCTCCTCGCTACCCTACGTCTTCCTCAAGCACCAAAACCGCTCTTTAGTGGGGTCTCGATCCACGGGATTGATAACGCCCTCGCGCCCCGCCCAGCAACGCAAGCACCGCCCAGCACGACGCCTCCGCTCGCAGAGCCCCCGAGAACTTTCGTGGCGATGTCCACGAACTCGCGGATCCTCGGCGAAGCCGTCGAAATTCAGCTCCCAGGTCAATCCGGGACCGCGCAGAAAGACTCTGAATCAGCGGATAGCCGAGGAACGCGGGGGCATCGTGCACGGCAGCCACCATCAACTACCATATGCCACGGAGGTGACCGTAAGCGACGGCGCACGGCATCGCGGCGAGCTTTGAATCGGGCAGCGAGGGGGCTGCTGTCCTTGCCAGAGGCGCGCGGGACACGGCCCCGCAACGCGCTGTTCGTCTCAGGCTTCCCGCGAGCCCACTGAGCTCGCGAGCGTTGGGGTCGGGCGCGAGGCCCGGGGCGGCAGACCTGGGCGGTCTGCGGGCACGGACCGAACCTGTCGGGGTTCGCGGAGACCGCGAAGCAGTTAAACGGACGGCGGCGGCACCGCGGCGGCGGCGGCCCGGCGGCCCCAGGGCGCCGCAGAAGCGGGCGTCCGAGTTGCAGCGAGCCGAAATGGCCGCAAGGGAGAGATCGCTCGACGACGAGACAACGACAGCGACGGCGGCGTTGCATCCATCAACAGCGGCGGCGATCACCTGATTCACACGCTGAGCAAACGCAACCGCGAAGTCCTCGGCAAGCTTACAACCCCGCCCCCTAGCTTCGAATCGCCCGCGGGTTCTGTCGCGCTTCCGCCCATCACCTCTGGCAATGATATCCGAATCTACAGCAGGGGCCCCACGGCTTACTCACGCACTGCCCCCCGTCATTCACAAGGCCACATGCACGAGCGCGCAAGCTAGCTTTTACATTGTTCTTCTTGAGGTCTTATTGCCCTTGAGGGTCGCGCCAATGTTGGCACGGCGTCGGCCAATCCAAACTCTCGATTCCTTCTCTCTTCGCGACATCTTCCGCGAGCTCAGCCAACGCCCAAGGCAAACTCCCCGAGAGTCCCTCTGCAAAGCCGCAATAACTTTAAGACCTTGGAATCACCACTCCTGCGATATAACTTCGCTCATGCATTGCCAGGGCGATCCACCCGCGCATAGCATAGATCCCCACGGGATAACGCGGTCGCCTTCGAAGCCTTTCAACTTCAGCATGGCGCACTCCAACCCGGAATCGGCGGCCATGTCTTGTTCCCCCCTGAATCAGACCACCCCGCAGTTGTTGTCTGCGAAGTTCGGGCCGCCAACGGGAGTTCCCTTGACACCGTCACGGAGAACTACAGCGGGCGCACCACCTAGGCCAGCCCTTTCCTGTCTTCCTATCCGCGGTGGCGCGCCCGCAAGTGCCTTTCGTTTGTTCTTCATTTCTGGCTTCTCTGCCACCCTCTTTCCTGCTACTGCGACGCCAATCACGACCGCGGATCGCGAGG